AAGTAGGAGAGAATCAGCAAGTAGATATATTATAATTAGGCGAATGGGTGGAGTTTGGCATGTGTTGATCTTATTGATGGTAGTCCATGAATTTGTGGTTACAGTGGAGAGTAGTAGGGGAACGGGGAAAGAATTATTAGGTGATTGGAAGTACCTTGAAATGGATAATAAGGTCGAGGTGGGGGCAAGGAGAAAAGCACCAGGTAGTGACAAAAAACCACCATCACCCGCCCGCAACATCCCTTCTCAACAATTTTCTCCGCCACCAGGCACCACCTGACCTTACTTGTCTAATCTCCTCTGCCAGCACTGCAGCCGCTGCCGCAGTTGCAGTCGCCACCATAGCTAGTGTTGTATGTCATTTGTAATGGAATGGTATTAATATAATCTATTGGTGGAGTATTACTTGTTTAAACTCCTCTGCCAGCACTGCAGCCGCTGCCGCAGTTGCAGTTGCCACCATAGCTAGTGTTGTCTGTCATTTGTAATGGAATAGTATTAATATAATCTATTGGTGGAGTATTTCTACTCTCAGATGGTACTACAAGCATGGCCATGGCCATGGCCATGACCATGACCAGTACTGAAGAAATTTCCAGATCTTCTTCTTCAACATCTTGTTATAACAGAGGGTTGAAGATCTCAAAAGGTCAATCCCCCATGGCCAGTGTCCGTCCTCCTAAATCTCTTGAGACACTGGCATGTTTCAGATAACTTTGTCAATGATCAATCCAATCTAGTTAATAAATATTTACCTCTTCTTATGCAAGAGTCCCGCAGAATTCACCTTTAGGTATAACATTTTGTGAGTCACCACTTATAATTTTTACTATTACTTTGTCATATGTTTGTGTATTTTCGTGCCTACTCGAAAGCAAAAAATGTTATTATTGAGTTTGAAATAAATCTTGCTCGGTGTTATTTGGTGCCCTTTTGTTTTGTTTTATATCTTGTAATGTTACTCTATACACATGTTATGAATGTACTCTATATATATATATATATATTTGTATTTACAAAGGTAAGTCAGTCTTTCTCTTCCTTTTGCTACTTTAACTTCTCATCAAAATTCAGATCCCAAAATTATTAAGCTTTGAAATCACTTCAGATTTCTCATGCTGATTAATTTGAGAGAAGAAGAACGAAAAAGACTAGAACACCGTATTGGGAAATAAAAATGAACAGTATTTCATTTAATGAGATGAGCAGAGTATTTATATACAATATCTAATCCTGATTAGTTACATAAATGAAAATTAACTAAGTAGGTAATCCAAACTGTTTTAACTAATTACGATAATTTTTTTAATTGTAATACCGACTATAAAATTTAATTTTTTTAACTACTGATTATAAATGTAAGACTCGTTGTACATCTAATTAAAATTCATGGTTAATTAAAATAAGCAATATCGTAATTTCTCTGCCATTTTTTATCAAAGCAAAATTCAAATACATGCCAAATCTTCAAAAATATGCACCCATCAAAACTATATCTCTCCCCCTCTTTTATTACATACCATTTTTTTAAATTATATGACATATATTCAATATTTATTCAAACAATTATGTATATAGTTATCATCTTCTATTTTCTATTTTGGTTGGCTTTAGTTTATTTAATGTATTTAACTTTAAAATGTTGTAAATACTAACAAACTCAAGATTATCTAATTCGAGACAACCTTACGATGCATATTAGATTCTATTTCCTTTTCTCTACGGATAAATAACGAATATCAAAAGTATATTCAAAATATGATAACTATACAAAACAAATTATCAATAACACCAATTATGCATAGAGTATAATAACGAATTTACATATTTTATTAATAAATTATATGAATGAATATGTACCGCAAATATATAATAAGTATTTTCTTAAATGATTAACACGACTTTCCTTCTATAAGAAATTATGAATTTAAGTTGTATTGTATATTTTCGTATATGACTAATATAAATTACATTATAATTTATATATTTGTATTAAAAAATACATACTCTACATATATAATTGAAGAGTTTAATTACACCCATTTATTTTAAACAGTCATACAAACAAATAATATAAATATATAATTTATTTTTTGAAAATAAATATTACCTGAGTAATATTTATCTAGTATTAAGTGAGTTTTTATCATTTTAATATTTATTATTAATAATATAATTAATCAAATATACTATCATATATATATATATATATATGTTTATTAAAACACTTGGTTGCCAACTCTTGATTATCTCACATCAAATATAATTATATATATATATGTTTGTGCGTGTCCGAGTGATGAAGTTAGGCGATAAGAATTTGACAATTTATTGTCAAATCCAGTGTAGAAAAGGAATCATAGATGGTTTTCACACCAAATTAATTTGACTGTTTTAAACAATCGCTCCAAGACTACTGCTTAGACTTTGAATCTGTTAATTAATTAGCAATTTGGCAATTGGGTTTTTAAATCTTCATTCTAATTAATTAAAGATTAGTTATATATATATATATATGTAGATAGTGTTTGTTCATGTATGATTGAAGTAACGAGGGGACAATCAATGGCAGTCACTAATAAGTTCTTGATCACTGTAATTATAATCAGTGGATTGTTTTTCTCTCTTTCTCAGTCTCTTGTGAAAGAAAGAGAAGATGATTCTACCGATCCGTCTTCTCTCCCTCGTTATTTTCCTCGTGAGGTGAAAATAAGACTCCGAAGAGGCCTTGCTCGATCACCACCACCACCTCCATTACGAAATCCTATTCGTCATCAGAGTCCTCCTCCTCCTCTTCCACCACCACCGCCGCCACCACCATCAGTATCACCTCCGCTACCACCACCACCACCACCTCCTCCATCACCGTAATCTATGCGACCACCTCCACCTCCATAAAGATCACACCAACCGTTACCGTTACGAAAAGTTATATCACATCATTATAAGTGTCGAGTTAATTATCTTAGTATGTAGATATTATAATTTTTTAAAGAGGTTTTGTTTGGTTTGTTAAAATAATTTTTTCAAATGTTGTCAATATTTTATTATATTTCTTGGACAAGAAAATTTTTATTTGCCATATTGTAATTTTTAAAGTTTGTGCTAAAAATATAAAAATACATCTTATCATCCCATCTGACTAATTCATTTCAAATAGTTAAAAATTTAATAATTTTTTATTTTTTATAATTAAAAAAAAAAACAAAACAATTAAAATTAGAACTTACGACAATTTTACGTACTCCATATATATTTTTGAAACTAATAGATTAATAATCGGTACAAGTATTATTCTCGAAATAAATGTGCAAAATTTAAATATTTTGATTCATTACCGAAACGTTCTCAAATATAAAAATTTATATTCGTTCTGAAATTATAATGTTCTTTTTTATAAAAGAGAATATGTAATAGATAAAAAGATTCAAACTTGGATAACAAATTTCTTGATCCTCTTCTCTCAAGTAAGCTTGAGATCTGCAGAAGTTCATTGACCTAGAGGGTTCAAAAGTGATTTGGGAATTTTTAGTTGCAGGTACAGTATTTTGAGTTAGAGTTTTCTTTGGACTCTGAGAAGATGAAAGAAGAAGAACAAGAGGCAATAATTTTGAACCAGTCAACACGTTAACTCGTTTTTCATATGTATATACTCATGTGTGTGTACATATATATTGACTAGAAATTTATGGTTAAGACTTTACATACACATATATACAAGCAGTATCATGCCAGCTTATTCAATACGAAATGTAAAAGGACAAAGCTTCGGGGTCAATAATAATTTATACTCGGTTTTGAAAAGACTTAACGAAATCTGCTGACTTGATCAGGATATAACTATAACCAACCCATCCATCGTCTTTATATAATATATTCGTGTGGGTATATACATATACATACGTACATATAGCTTCTTTCTTGTAATTAAACGTAATGGGGATTTCCTGTTTTCGATTAGTCATGTTTGTCGTGCTAGTTCATGGCATGATATTATTACAGACTAATTATCACTTGAGCGGCAAGAAGAACACTTTAATGGCTGAAGCTGTTGATGTCCATCATGATGAAGATCATGGTGTCGAAATTTCTGCAAATTATCATCAGTTGCATTCTCAAATGAAATTGGTTGTGAGTAGGAGAGAAATGGATCCGAGAGTGCCGCCTCCTCCTCGGGTAGCTGAAGGAGATCACCAGGAGTAATCATGTCTGCCTAGTTAATACACCTGATCTAATATACTATCGGAATATATTATATACGGTTAGATTATTATTGTCGTTGTTGTTATTGTTGTTGTATTATATATTTTATAGGTATATCAAAATAAAATGATTTATAGAATAGCATGTAACGTAGTATTATTTTTAAAAATTAACGATAAGTAGATGTTCGTCATGAAGTGATATTATAATATTATATAGTATAAATGTGTTGCAACATTTTTAACCTTGCTTAAATTATAATAAATTATTTATTTTTATTGTGAATTCAACTATATATGTACGTAAAATATAAAACTAGTTAGATTCACGTATAATTACAAGTATAATCAAATTATAGAAATTAAATATTACTTGGAAGAAAAATGGGTTTTTGACTTGTGTGTCTCTGTATATATATATATACACCCCCACACACACACACACACATAGATATATATATTGTTTCCAGCTGCTGCCATGTATTGACTTGTGCGTGTATAATTGACACTTCAAGGATATTGAGTTCAATAATTCACAATCCATATCCATCTATCCCCTTAGTTTGACAATAATATGATTTAATTTTTGCTTCCTAATTCATTATAATATATATAATGCATTATTTCTTAACTTTTTTTATATATATAAACCCCAAAATTATTGTGATATATATATATATATATGTGTGTGTGTGTGTGTGTGTGTATCTCAATTTATAAACTGCATTACCAATGGACACAGCTCCATTACCCAGTCTAATAAGATGGCAAACTTAGAAATAAAAATTTTACCTTAAAGTTTTTGGTTAATTTACTTTTTAACCTTCCCGAAACATAAAACTTTCTCGCCAATCAAACAGCCTCGAGAAAATCACACAGACGCATGGATCTTCTCCGGGACGAATATGAGGGGAGGAATCTACACTAATCCGTGCTTGACTATGCACCAGCCATGGGCTTTCACTGCTTGTTCATGGCATTAACCGCGTGGAGGGTAAGTCATGGCCTGCTTAGGGGTCAATGCTAAACTGAATATCTATAATCTAATAGGGTGTACGGAAGGATACATGAGGACTGAAAGAGAGATTCAAATTTTATGATATATATATATTTTATGATATATATATATATATATCATAAAATTCAATATGAACATGTATTACCAGGTCAAGGCATGCAAATAAAAAATTTTAACATGGGTGTAGACAATACATCATATTTGAATAAAATTATTGATTGACAAGTAATATATATGTATATGTAGATGAATATATAACCTTAATTAATGAAGAAAGACTCGTTCAAGGATCCAGCCATTGAAATATTTGTATATCGACCATCTGTGGGTGTGCTCATATGTGTATATATAAGAGCATAATCAGGTATACGGGTTGTAAATAAGAGAGAATCAGCAAGTAGATATATAATAATTACGCAAATGGGTAGGGTTTGGCATGTGTTAGTTTTACTGATGGTAATCCATGAATTTGTGGTTACAGAGGAGAGTAGTAGGGGAATGGAGAATGAATTATTAGGTTACTGGAAGTCCTTAGAAATGGATAATAAGTTCAAGGTGGTGTCGAGGAGAAAATCACCAGGCGGTGACAAATCAAAACCATCACCCGTCCCCAACATCCCTTCTCGACAATTTTCTCCGCCGCCACGCCCCTGACCTTACTTGTTTAATCTCCTCCACCACCTCCGCAGCCGCAGTTGCAGTCGCGGCCACCATCACTTGTATTGTCTGTCATTTGTATTGGAATAGTATTGATATGATATACTGATGGAGTAGTTCTACTTTCAGATGGTACTGCAACCGTATTTCGTGAGTTACCGTATATAATTTTTACTTAATACTTTGTTATATGTTTGTGTATTTTCATGTGTATTCGAAACCGAAAGTGTTAATATTGGTGCCCTTCTGTTTTGTTTTATATCTTGCAATGTCACTCTATGAATGTAATATATATATATATATATATATATATATATATATATATATATATATAATACATCCAGTTTCCACCAGCATGCTTAACCAGAAGTTGAAAAGAAATAAAAAAAAAAGCAAATAGCTTTATAATAACACCCTTCAGGGCGATTAAAAACTCCTTCCTTAACATGCCCACTATGCAGCCAATGAAAGCCAGCATGTATCAATGGAGATGCATGCATAACCTATGTAACGGACTCGGAATTTAAATAAAAATGTATGTATTAAAAATCTTAAATGTGAAAGCGTAATAAAATTTTTGATTAACATCCTTTACATAAGAATCAAAAACATACTCAAAACATGAAAGAATAAGATAATTAAAAAAGATACTCAAAATAAAAACTATAAATAGAGTTATAAAATCCTTAGGCGTCTAACTTGTCGTTTTCCTGCGAAACAGGTTCGGGAACCACGTCTTCCTGATCTGAAATGTTTAAGTAAGGAATGAGTTATACTAACCCAGTCAAGACATCACACTATCTCACTGCCACAGAAGTAAAAGTCGGTAGAAAACAAAAACAAACAATGGAGCATAATTTATAACAAACTCATTTATTAACATAAAAACATTTACTGTCCACTTACCTCGGTGAGATTCATGAAAATAACATATAAAAACAATAACATGATAATCATCATAAAATCATATACATTTTGTAACAGAACACATGTCTTACTTTTGCACTTCAATAATCAGACAATAAATTTCATCTTTTACCAGCCAGTATCCATGGGGATCCATAGGGGGTTCCCGCTACACGTGAACCATGAACATTAACAACCTGATTCCAGGGCCGTCCCCATACTCCATCCGGTATGGGCGCCAAAACCATAAACCTCAATACCCTGTCCGGTATGAGGGTGAAACGGGTCGTCCCCATACCCCGTCCGGTATGGACGCTAAAACACATAAGGTCTCCATACCCCGTCCGGTATGAGAGACCATGTTCCCGGTAGGGTTCCCTACGGACCCGGTCCGTCTACCATCTCCCAGGATATCTAGTCAGGATGTCCACATCATCCAGTTATCAATTTATATAACCTTTTTGTCCTTTTCCTTGGTCTCAATCATCCAATCATACACAAACATGTAAACCAGTAATTGACACAAAACAAGACAACACAGTATCGGGTTCACCATAATACAAGCCATAACAAAAGAAACCATGATTCATGCATTCGAGACCATAAAATAAATACATCAAACATCATACTGCATTTAATACTGAAAAATAGATCAAACAACAACTGACCAACAATGTACCAGATTCGGGCTCCATTGACAACCTCAATCAATTATACATCTATAAAGTCTCAAAATACTGTTTAATTATTTATTAAGCTTTAATACTGTTATAAGAAATAGGGTGAGAGGTCCTTACTTGTTTCGGGGTTTGAAATCGGCTCTACAGTGCGCCTACGGGCTGTCCCTAATTTTCCTGAATTTTTTTTCGGAAAACTGAAACGCACTATCGGTACCTGCACGTGTCCCAAAAAATTTCAAATCAGACCTAGGGCCCCTTTCGGTCAATATCGAAATTCCGGCACGGTGGCTCCACCGTGCTCCGACGACGGCGCCGCCGCAGGCGGCGGCGATCCGCCTCGGGTTGGCCATTTTCAACCGAATTCGGCCAAACTTGCATTGGTCCCTGCGATAAAACAACCCTAGGGCCATCGGGGGGCCAAAAAATCACGAAAAATCGAGACTTACCGGTGGTGGTGCTCTCGGGTGCGGCGGCTTCTCCGGCGTGAGTCGCATTTTGATGTTTTGCTCCGGTCAACCTGTAGAGAAAAGAATGGTGGTCACAGTGGTATAAAAATTGCATCGAACGGAAGTCGAGAAGGGCCTCATCGGAGGCAAAAAACAGAGGGAAGTCGCGACGGCGTCGCTGGACTTCGGCGGGGTTATCCAGCTGAATGGCCGGTGGTTTGGCTCCGGTTTGGCCATAAGCGGATTCAGCATCGAAAAACGAGACAGGAAGAAAAAATTTACCTCGATTGGCGGTTGGAAAATTCTCCGGTGTGGCAGCAGGTGGCGGCGGCCGGCTCCTCTGGCGAGGCACTGGCGGCTAGGATTTTGTGGTCAGGTGTGGGTGGGGTTATTTATACCATTTTCCTTTTACTCTCGACCGTTCATCAAGATTAAATCTGAACCGTCCGATCGCAATTTATTTGGGATTAAATCTGGGCCGTCCGTACCTAATTGGATCTGGGCCATCCATACGTATGAAATCTGGACCGTCCGTGCGCACATTTAATCTGGGTTGTCTGTGCGCGCGGGAACTGATCTGGGCCGTCCGATCGCGCGTACGCGGATCACCCACGTGGCATGTCCCATGTCAGCGTTTCCTTACCACGCGGTGTGTCCTGGTTGGCCGAGGCTGCTGACCGGGCTGCTGATGTGGTTACTGACGTGGCACAACTTTTTCAAATTGCGTTTTGACCCCCCGGTTTCTGATTTTTTTTTCAAAAACACCCCTATAAAATCCAAATTTTCACCCATTTTTTCCAAAATCAATTTCAATTAAATCCAAAAAATAATTTTACCTTATTTTATCATTATTTTTATTTTTATTTTTATTAAATTAAATTAAATTAAAATCTTATAAATTAAATATATAAAAATTTAAAATAAAATTCAAATACAAAAATAAAAATAATAATTTAGGGGTTACAACCTATATATAAAATATATATATATATATTAGAAAATAACTTTTTTTACGAATTTTATCATTTTAATATAATTAATCAAATATAATATCACTTTTTTTTTTATTCCAACACTTGATTGTCAACTCTTGATTTATTGTGAGCAATTTGGCAATTGGGTCATATATATATATATATATATATATATATATATATATGTAGATGGTGTTGAAGTAATGGCAGTCACGAACAAGTTCTTGATCACTGTAATTATAATCAATGGATTGTTTTTATCTCCTTCTCAGTCTCTAGTGAAAGAAAGAGAAGATGATTCTAATGATCCATCTTCTCTCCATTGTTATTTTCTTTGTGGGTTGAAGACAAAACTCCCAAGGGCCCCTGCCCCATTACCACCGCCACCTCCGCCGCGAAATTCTCCTTGTCATCAAAGTCCTCCTCCTCCGATTTCACCACCACTACCACCGCCACTATTACCATCACCGCCACTATTACCATCACTTCCACCACCATTATATATGCGACCACCTCCACCACCGCCGCCAAGAAGAGGACCACCTTCATCACCACGAAGATCACATGCGCCGCCGCCACCACCACAAAGAGTTATATTATACCACTATTAACGCCCGTCCATTATTTTATTACGTCAAATTTATATTTTCTTAAAGAGATTATATTTTTTTATCAAAATAAAATTTTCAAATGTTCTTAATATATTATTATATTTTTTGTAAGAAAATTTATATATAAATAGTTGCTGACGTGGCCGCTTATAGATACAGCTGGCTACATTAACTCTGCCTTCCACGTTACTGTTAATATTTAAAATTATTAATAAATTATAAAATAAAATAAAATAAAAATTATTCTCACCCTGCTAATCCACCATTCCTTCTGCAACTGAAAGCTTCCAGCATATCTGCAACTTCTTCTCCTTCCTCTCTTCAAAATTGATTTGGGTATTTTTAGTTGCAGGTACAGTTTTTTGGGTTAGGGTTTTCTTTGGATTCGAGAAGATGAAAGAAGACTAACAAGAGAAGGAGAAATGAGAAAGCAAAAATTCTGATGAACTGGTCAACACGTCAACACATCTTTCATTCATTATTATATATAATGTGTATATATTGACTAGAAATGTATACTTTAGACTTAGATGCATATACACACACAGACACACAAGCTGTATCCTGCCAGTTTCTTCAATATGAAATCTAACAGGAGGAAGCTTCTGGGTCAAAAATTTACACTGGGTTTGAAAAGAATTAACGAATCTGCTGACTTGATCACGATATAATTATAACCAACCCATCACCATTGTCCCTATATAAAGAACAGACCAATATTCATAATTAAGAAGGATATATTCGTGTGGATTTAGACATATATATATATATATACATATGTCTTCTTTCTTGTAATTAGAAGTAATGGAGATTTCCTGTTTTAGATTAGTCCTGTATGTTGTGCTAGTTCATGGCATGATATTATTACAGGCTAATTCAAACATGAGCAGCAGGAAGAACATTTTAATGGCGGAAGCTGTTGATGTTCATCATGATGAAGATCATAGCGTTGAAAGTTCTGCAAACTATTATCAGTTGCATCCTCAAATGAAATGGGTTCTGAGTAGGAGAGGAATCGGAAACTTTCCGAGACGGCCGCCTTCTCCGATGCCAAATCAAGGAGCTCAACAAGTTATGCCTCCCCCATCCGTGCCTATCTAGTTAACCCACCCGGTTTAATATAATACCAAAGTATATTAGATACTATTATTCATTATTGTCATTATTATTGGCATATGTATTATATATATATATATATATGTATTATATTAAAAAATATGTATATATATATAAATTTATAATGAGAATTGCATACAGCATATTTCAATTTGTAGATGCACAATCCAATAAAGGGTTCTTTCCTAATATATATATATATATACAAATATCAAAGTGTTAATATGTTTAATGTGGCTAAGATATAAATTTAGATATGTAATATCTATTTTTGTTTAAATTAATTTTAACTTCCATTTTACATTAAATTAATTCCCATATTTTAAAAGTATTTTTTTATCTAATATAATTTTATTACTAATTACAATTACCGTTAACTTAAATATCACATATTAAATTTAGTGACACATAATTTTTAATTAATTTGTTTATAAATTAAATGTTATAAAATTTTGTATAAAGACACTATTTTACGGATAAAAATAAATATACAAAAAGTAAGTCGTGGCTTTTTTTTTTATTTGACATATAAAAATTTAATTTATATAAACTTTTTAATATTATATTAAATATCACGTGATATCTGATGTAAAAATTTAAGTTAATAATGTTAATAATTAATAATAAGAATAAAATAAATTAATTTTTTTTAAAAAATACATAGACTAATTAAGAGATAATCGAAAGTATAATTAATTTGAATAAAAATAAATATTATAAAATTTTAAATTTATATTTTAGCCTTTTTAATGAGGAGGAAAAAACTAGTAAGCTAAATTAAGTTATATTAATTTATTTATCTTTCTTGTGAATTTAACTATATATATATATATATATATATATACACATGTATAAAACTAGTTAAATTCACTTATAATTACAAGCATAGTCAAATTATAGAAATTAATTATTACTCATTGAAGAAATTAGGGGTTTTGACTGGTGTGTATGTTGATATACATTCACACACACACACGCACACACACACACATATATATATATATATATATATTGTTTCCAGCTGCTTACATACATTGACTTGTGCGTATATAATTGACACTTCAAAGTTATTGACATCAAAAATTCACAACCCATATCCATCCATCCCCTTAATTTCAGCAGTATCATTTAATATTTGGTTCCTAACTATTATATAATATATATATATATATATACATAATACGTTATATCTTTTTTTTTGCATTTTCCTTTATATAAACCCCAAAATTAGTGTGATATACTTATATATATATATATATATATGTCTCAATTTATGAACTGCATTAACAATGGATACAGTTCCATCACTCTCGTTTTTTCTTGTGCTACTTATACAAACGAGCACCATGCTTGAAGCTTCTTATGATACTACAGGCAAAAACAACCTTGAAATTGAGATGAACAATTATGATTTTCATGCTCAAGTGAAAGCAGTATTAGGCAGGAGATCAATCATCCCGATACGCCGCCCGCCTTCTCCGACACCCAACCGTTTGGTCCGTCAGGATGCTCCTCCTCCTGCATCACCCGACAAACGACTTGTCGTTTTCTTGTCACCGCCGCTACCACCACCACCACCATAATTGGTGGTTTAATTAGGGATTGAGTTTCATGTGAGCTTTGGCTGCTTCTTTGTAATTTTGATCTCTACAATGATCATATTGGAAGAACTTTTTTATATTATAGGGTTTCTTTTTTTTTCTTTCTGATTTTTGAGTTATCTTTGAAAAGTAATAAATGGAAATTACCCATATTATCATATTATACAAAATGTTTGTTTCATATATATATATATATATATATATCACAGTTAAAGTAATGTTGAATGTTTGGAAAAAACTTTAGATAGGTTAGCTCTATGTAATCTTTTGTTTGAACCGGGAGAAAGAAAAACGAGAGACTGATATATATATATACTTTCTGGGTGTTAACTAAAAGTGTTGAGTATATACATATACATACGTTTAAGTATATGGAAATATATGGGAAATATTATTCATGGTGGGTTATATGGATCGTGTTGATACACGGTGTTGTAGTAGTCAGCGCCGGAAGCGAGTTCCGATGATCGGTGGTTATATTCAGAAAATGGAAATTGGGGTGTTTGGATACGGGGATTGCATATTGTCTCCAAAAGAATAAACACCTTGTCACCGCCGCCGCCTCCGATGATTAATTTTGGCAGAACCATGTTGGCTCCTGCTCCTCAGCCGTCCGTACCACCGTCTCCTTCTCCATCTCCCCTTTGTCCTATCCATTAACTTTTTTTACCTCCATTTTCAATAATTATTCTGATTGATTTCTCTGAATATATATATATATATATATATATCTATGTATCTCATTCTTGTTTGCAAGTCATTCCAGCTTACTGCTTTTACACTGTTCTTTCCTCTATCATAAAATTAATAAATTTATTCTCATGTTGTATTTTAATATTCATATAATTTTTAATTATTTAATTTATATATATATATATATTTTAAAAAAACATTAAAATTGTAATGCTAATAGAAATAAAGAGGAAATGAATATTTCTAAAATTAACCCATTAATCAAAAATTACAATTAATTTTTTAATTTTAAATTGATTTAGTTTGTGGAATTAAATTATATTAATTCAAAATAATTTTTAAGTTAAATCAAAATCTTGACTCCTAAAATCCAAGGAAAATAACCTAAAAAAACCCAACATCATAAACTCAAACCTTTAACTAAAAGCCCAAGTTTTTATTTATAGCCTTTAAATTAAGACCAATTTAAAAAGCCACTTTACCAAAAGCTCAACTCGAGTTAACTCTCCTCCAAAGAATACGAGTTCGAACATCGTTAAAAAAATAAAACTCGCCGCAGTATGAATTTATTATAAATAAAAAATAATTGACTAATAATATTTGATCAAATTATGCCGAAAACTCAGTCATATTAGATTCAATAAAGTAATTTAAAGGCTACTTTACCGAAAACTCAACTCAAATTAACTTTCCTAATACCCAATACCAAAATAATTAAGTCTCCTCCAAAGTCTCATTTAATTTTTTTTTTTTAAGCCGACAATTTTTGTAGTTTATTTGAAGTATATAACATCACTAAAGAAATAAAATTTAACACAGTGTGAATATATTATAAATTAATAGGGATCGACCAATAATACTTCATTCACTTATGTCGAAATTCAATTATATTAAATTCAATAAGTAATTTAAAAGCTACTTTACCAAAAG